ATCCATCATGATTCAATGAGCGATTGTTATGTAGTGGGAAAAACCTGATGAATATGCACATTTTGAGCAAACGAAACAACAGAATCAGCAACAGCAGCGTAAGCCAGCACTTCAGTCCAAACTGCCGAATGCACCTTCTCAAACTCAGTTGAAGTCGCAGAGTCAGTCTCCACAAGTTCGCTAATTACAAGAAGCATATCCTCAGGTGCGGAACATACAGTACTAACATTTGCAATTCCTGCAGCCATTTATAATAGATGTCTAATTTCACATAGGTGATTTAGTTATTCAACTTATGGTCCTATATACTAAAGTTATTGGAGATGACAGTGCATAGCTACAATTCATCTCCAATAGCTTATCATATATAATAAATTTGTGTTTATGACATAAAAAAAAGTTGGCACAGTTGGTATGACTGTAGCTTTTAGCTATTATTTAGGTCCCATGCAAGGCACAGGTTGTACTTAAAAAGCTATTTGTTAAGAAATAAGAATCATCAGTATGTATTTGTCGGACCATGATACAAAATTCAATTTACATAAATCAAATATGACATTATATATGGCTTATACACTCTTAAGTTCCAATATGATGATTTGTAAATAAAATGCACTCACTATGAGTGTAACATTAACTAAAGAGCAACATCAAATCATAAGAAAACTTGTAAGATGCCATGAGAACTGAGATATATGACAAAAATCTAATTCAAGCAAATGTTAATATTGAACTGAAACACAACAATCTCAAAATTACAAGAAGACTTTCTTGCTTAACGATTTATTTTCTTCCAACATTATTCCTGAGGCAAACACCCCAGCACAGCAAAACATACATACAACAATTACAACAAAGACTTTATCCCAAAATATTTGGGATAAGGACACAATTATACATATATAAAAATCTTCGATACATTGATCAAGTGAATGTTCAAATATACAATATACACAACTTTATTCTGCCATCTCAAAATCTTGCCAACATCACTATCATCTTGCATTAAAGTCAAAGTATGGAGTGCAACTAGTAACCACGTGAATGCATGTTGAAATAATTCATGTTAGCTTATCTTTTCAATCCATAATACTTTCATGTCGTCCACAGTTCCAGTAAATCCTTGTAAAGTATGGCAACAACTCTGCAAAAACTAATATCTATAGCATAGATGTATACAGATGTAATGATACAAATATAAATTAAAAAAAAGCATTAATTGGACATGCTGCAAAACTAATCTCACTATTATTCATGCTGTTTTAACCTTCTAAAGTACATCATAACAACTGAGCCTAGCTAAGCTATGAATCCATGATAAGTCTATGATATGCAAAGGTATATAATACATGAATAATCAATTGTTTAAAATTTAAAGGAGAAGAATGCTTCTCGTTCAAAATTTGGAAACAGTAAGCAGCACATAAACTTGGTACACTTATGGCGTTTCAACACAATGTTACTGCACTTTGAGATTTTTCTTGAAGCTTTACGCTGTCATAATCAAACACAAAATCACAAAACCATGAACCAATAGATATTTGAATTCTCGAGATAGGAGAGTAATAGAAATCACTTATTTCTTTTCTCTTATCACAGTTCTTTTTGACCTTATGATTGGGATCAGGAACATAACATGGTAGATTTATCTATATAGGAAGCTAACATATTAATGAATACAAAACAAAAGTATCTCCACAATTAGGTAAAATGCAATAAAGGCTGAAAAAAGTTGAAACTTTTTGGAAAAAGTTAAACAAAACTAAAAATTAAAAAGCTCCAATGTACCTTCACCATCACCATTGCCCCAAAGAACTCCTAATATATACTTAATCAGTGGTATCAGAATCAAAGGATATAGAACCGAAGAGAGTTGGCGTAGAACATCTTACTTCCGATGATCAAGTATTTGAGCAGATATCATATCAATCTATAGAGTGGACTTGATTCAATGTTCCCCTGTTCATCATTTCAGAATTCATTTGTCTAAGGATTTAAAGAAACCTATACATGAAGACAGATTAAGTGACATCAAATCAAACCTTGCAAATTGTGTTTAGTTTTCATATCATTTATCATTGAACAAAATGTCTTGCAAATTTATGTGCAACTTCTACAATGACAAATTAAGTGGAATTAAAGGAAAAAAAGTAAAAACAGAAAATTTATAACAAATTAACTCAAACCACCCCCTATATTATCTCATGTGTTAAGTTATACTATTTATACTTTTATGCTATTTAAGAATAATTTAAGTCACCTAGATGGATGAGTACTTTCTAATTTGTCAGTTTACTTATGTCAGATATTCAAAAATATATACTGTGCAATATAAAAAATCAACAATAAAATGGAATATTGAAATATATATGTTTTCAAATAAAAAAGTTAGTTTTAAAGTAATTAAATATTATTTGATATTATCTTACATATTACTAATTTCAGTAATTAAAAATAATGTTAAAAATAGTATAACTATTCGATTTAAAGTATCTTTGAACATTACTTAATATTTTAGTATGAGTGGATACTTTTCTGCTATCAATAAATATAAGCTATACATTAAATTGAAAGCTAAGATGAGAGGCAAAATATCAATTTCATTTAATGTAAGATGAGAGGCAAAGTATCAATTTCATTTACTGTTCATATGGAGGAGGTGCGGGAGATATCCTTGTGCACGCTTTTTCCAGTAGCAATTCATTCAACAACAGATATAGTACCTTTATGTGAAGATGAAGTGAAAATGACATTAATTCAATGATAATAAATGTATGTCATAATCATGTTAAGTATATAAAATATATCATGTAGAACTTATATCGCATGTTACTTTTAGGAAAATAAAGCTTCAGATATGTAGCAAAAGGTTATATGCATACTCAGATGCTGAAATTTAGAAAAAAATATTTGCTTACTTTGATGGAAAACTTGAAGGCCTATTGCATTTGGACTTTAGGCAAGCTAGTCCGCACCATATCTTATAAACTAAAGCGTACATTTGTCATAGCGTCACACTCAAAATTGCCTGTAAGATGAAGAATGTGATGCTGTAAGATGAAGAATGTGATGCTATAGCAACTTGTATAGTGATGAGTGATGAAAGAACGCCAAAGTTGTGTGATACTAATTAGAAATAACAGTTTTTTTTATAAATAGAAAGAATAGTTTGCATGATATATGTTAGAATTAGTTCTTGGGTTATCGGGTTAGGGCCCATTACCCATATGTAACCCTATATATACCCATGGAGATGAATGAAATGATAGACTCTCTGATTTTCTCACTCTCAACTATTCGTATCCTTCGTACCGATAATTCTTTGGAATACATGAAACATGATCTCTCTCGTTTTTTTGCAAATATTGGTATTATCCACCAAACATCATGTTCTCACATTTCACAACAAAATGGAGTTGCTGAAAGGAAGCATAGACACATTTTAGAATTTGCTAGAACCCTGATGGTACATATGAATATACCAAAGTATTTGTGGTCTGATACAGTCCTTAGTGCATGTTTCCTGATCAATAGGATGCCCTCTCCTGTTCTTAATGGTAAAGTACCATTCATCTGCCTTTATCCAGACAAAAGGCCTTTTTCTGTGGTTCATCGAGTTTTTGGTTGTACTTGTTTTGTTCAGGATTTGTCTCCCGGACTTGATAAACTGTCTCCACGGTCTATTAAGTGTGTCTTCTCGCGTACTCAAAAAGGGTATCGATGTTATAATCCATCTACCAGGAAATATTTTGTGTCTGCCGATGTAACCTTTTTTGAGTCGGTTCCATACTTCTCCTTGATTGGTTCACCCCCAACTGTCAGTCCATCTGTGCCTCTTCCGTCTATTGCTCCTACTACTGTTCCACTACCTGTTTCGGTTCCTTCTGCTGATGGATCTTCTCCAGAATTACAAAATGCTTCCACTATGCCATCTGCACCACCACCACTACTGACGTATTGTCGTCGTTCAAAAGTTCCTGTCCCTCTCTCTGCTCCAGCCGAACATTCATCTCCCGTTGCAGGTTTGCCTCTTTCTACTCCTTCTGATCTCGATATTCTAATTGCTCATCGAAAAGGTAAACGGTCTTGTACTAATCATCCTATATCTGATTTTGTTTCCTATGACCGTCTTACTCCCTCTTCTCGTCAGTTTGCTTTGTCCTTGTCCTCTTTTTGTTCAGGATTTGTCTCCCGGACTTGATAAACTGTCTCCACGGTCTATTAAGTGTGTCTTCTCGCGTACTCAAAAAGGGTATCGATGTTATAATCCATCTACCAGGAAATATTTTGTGTCTGCCGATGTAACCTTTTTTGAGTCGGTTCCATACTTCTCCTTGATTGGTTCACCCCCAACTGTCAGTCCATCTGTGCCTCTTCCGTCTATTGCTCCTACTACTGTTCCACTACCTGTTTCGGTTCCTTCTGCTGATGGATCTTCTCCAGAATTACAAAATGCTTCCACTATGCCATCTGCACCACCACCTCTACTGACGTATTGTCATCGTTCAAAAGTTCCTGTCCCTCTCTCTGCTCCAGCCGAACATTCATCTCCCGTTGCAGGTTTGCCTCTTTCTACTCCTTCTGATCTCGATATTCTAATTGCTCATCGAAAAGGTAAACGGTCTTGTACTAATCATCCTATATCTGATTTTGTTTCCTATGACCGTCTTACCCCCTCTTCTCGTCAGTTTGCTTTGTCCTTGTTCTCTATATCTCTAGTCAGGTCATATGAGGAGGCCGTATTAGATCTTGCTTGGAAACAAGCCATGGATGAGGAGATGGATGCACTTGTTTCTAGAGGGACTTGGGATCTTGTATCTTCTCCCACAGGCGTTACTGTAGTTGGTTGTCGGTGGGTTTATACCTTAAAGTATCGCACCGATGGTTCAATTGATCGTTACAAAGCTCGTCTTGTTGCTAAGGGATATACTCAAACCTATGAGATCGATTATCTTGAGACGTTCTCTCCCGTAGCCCGTCTCAATTTCATTCGCCTACTTTTCTCTATGGCTGTTAATATGGATTGGACAATGTTTCAGCTGGATGTTAAAAATGCCTTTCTGTATGGTGACTTACAGGAGGAAGTCTATATGGAGCAACCTCCAGGGTATGTTGCTCAGGGGGAGAATACGATCTGCAAGCTTAAAAAGGCAATTTATGGTCTCAAACAGAGTCCACGGGCATGATTTGAGAAATTTAGTACTG